TGTTGGTCTAGCTGTTCTTCGTCTTCTTCTTCTTGGGTGGTGTTGTAGTAGTTGTTGTTGTTGTTCTCAGTGCAGGGCAGGCTCTCTCCACCAAGAGAGCCTCCTCTCTCCTTCATCAGATGGCTGTATCTGTTCTCTCTCTCCCTCCCTCTCTTTGACTCTGTTTCGCTTCCTCTCAAAAACTCAAAAACTCAATAACCCAAGTTGGAAAAAGTCCCTGCTAGCTCAATAGTGTTTAAGAGGTGTCCTTGTTTTGTGGTTTGGGCTCCAATCTCGAGGATTTTCCTCTAGAGAGATTGAATTTCTGTTTTTTGTTAAATTAAAAAAGAGAAAAAGAAAAACCCACAGAAAGAGAGAGATAGACAGGCCAAGAGAGAGAATGTGTGTGTTTCTTTATGTTTGTACCATATCTGATCCTCCACTCATCCATTGACACGTGGATCACTTAAACTCCCCAAGTGCCCAAGGCTCCGAACAATCAGCATCGGCTACCGATGACATTGTCTCAAAGCAGCCAAAGGTCGCTACAGGCCCAATTTGGTATCCTACTCAAAAAAGTAAACTGAAAAACTATAATTCTTTTTAAAAACATGAGTTTTCAAATAGTGATGTTAAGATCTAAAAACTTGTTTGGAATTGAACTCCAAATTATTTTTAAGATCTTAAAAAAATTGAAATTAAAATCAGAAAATCATAAACCCTAATCCCCAAATTGAAATTAACAATAGAAAAGGAAAAAGATGTGAGGCATAAACCCAATCAATTTTGGTGGTGCGCAAGAGAGAAACCGCGATGAGAGAGAGAGAGAGAGAGAGGAAAAAAAAAAGATATTTAGTCATATACCCATTCTTAGCACTAATAATATACATAAACCCTACATCATTTAATTTCTATAAAAAAAAACCCAAAAAATGACAACTGGCCCTATTGATTTAATTTTGATTATTAAATTACTTTGATCCCCTATTGAGTGTTTTGGGTTTTTTTATGAGGTTTTGAGGTTGGGTTTGTTTTAAGAAATCCATGACAGTTTTGTAATTTAAAAAGAAATTAAAAGCATTTTTGTTATGTTGCAAATGAGTTTTGGGTGTGTTTCTAAAGTCCATTTGATATCAGCTTTTTCTATAATTTGAGCTCCTATATTGGGTATAATAGTGAATCTCCCAAAATATTACAACCCAAAATCTCATAACTCCATTTCTCAACTTCTCCATGATTGAGTGTTGCCTCTGATATCAAAACCCTTTCTAGTCGCACATTCCTTCCTTCGTCCTCCCTAATCGAGTGTTCAATGTGATAACAAAGAATCATCAGCGGTTTATCCAAAATTAGCGGTCCTGACATCTGCATTTTTGAACTTCTCTCAAATTGACTTCTTATCTTGCAAAGAATCATCAACCAGTTATGTGGTAAGTGAATTGCAACGAATTCGAAATTTAGGGCATGTTTGGTATCCTACTTGGATTCAATTTTATAAACTCAAAAACAAATTTGCCCTAAAAAGATGTTTGGTAGGCCCATTTTTAAAAACCCAAACCTAAAAAAAAATTCAAAAACACCCCTATTATTATTATTATTATTATTTTAAAGTGAGGTTTTATAGTTTTTTTTTAGTAAATTTGGCTTACACCCTTCAAATTCAACTTACCTTAACTGCAACCCTTCACTTTTTGTTCCTATAAATAATACCCAATTTTTATAAGTAAAAACTCATGACTAGGATCCAACTCATCAAGTTACCTTATTAAGCTCAATTTCTGATTTATTATAATTTTTTGATTGCCAAAAGACCCCTATTTATATTTCAATGTGTAATGGGGTGGTGTTTTAATTTTTGGTTCCCCAATTTATTGTGGTGATTCCCTCTAAAAATTTTGTCTGCAATTAATTATCCATTTTATTATTAAAATTCATCAAAACAGTCAACGTAAGTTTCGAGATATGATACTGAACAATTGATTGATTTTAATGTGGAATAGATTTTTCCCTCTGTGAAGTACACTGTGGAGCCAGTGGAGTTGGGTGGGACTTACTTTGCTCAAGGTCACTCCTTTTTTTTAATGTTGCCCCATAATGCATACACATGTTAACATTCTTCATGTTACTTTGCGTGGTAGTCTAATGTTCAAGTGTAAATAAGTTGACTTTTATTCGTAAGTGAAATGAGACATACGCTTCTTTACCTCGAAGTCCTTACTTCATTCAGATTGTAGGGTTTCCTCACTAAGTATTACTCCATTAATTTCATTTTCACACATCGTAGAGGGGAACTCTTGAAATCTCTAGGTGCCTTTTAATTGCTACTAACAGATGGCTAGGTCAACTTGAATGAACTGCAATCCCTTCGTGATACATTAACAAATGGTTTAATGACAAATAGCCTGAATAGTTTAACCTTTGTTAGAGATAACACTATGTTCTGTTGGATTAGATGGAAGTTATGTTTGTTGGAGTTCTTTTTATGGGCTCTAACATATAACTTCTGAAGAAGTTACATCCCTTCATTTGAATGAATATATATCTCTTCACATCTGCAGACACATCATTTAATTAGGTGTTACTTGGTGCACCTTCGCAAGTCATTCATGAAGCTACATCGTCATTGATCAATAAGCAGTATATGACTCATATATCACTACTACTACAAGTGATTATCTCTGATGAGTGATTTCCTGGTTGGCATAGAAATTGAGGCCACTGTCTTTTATCTCCTTCTCCCATTTCTCACTATGCCGTACTGTGTTTCCTATCATGATTTTTCAGCTTGGTTGTGGTCATGGACTTCCTGGTATCTTTGCTTGCCTTGAGGTGAGTTTTTGTTTCTTAAGCTCGTACATTTGGTTTCATAGATTAGATTTCTTAAGATTCTTCGTTGTTGCTTCAGGGTGCAGCTGCCATTCATTTCCAGGACTTCAATGCGGAGGTCCTGCAGTGTCTCACTATACCTAATGTAAATTCAAATGTTCCAAGCTTCCAACGCCCAGCACTGCAAGTTACAAAGTGTGATGCGGGGACGGAAATTCATTTTTTTGCTGGCGACTGGCGTGAAATCCATAAGCTTCTTCCCTATGCACAAAACATTGAGAAGGATCTTAATGTTAGTACAGGGAAAGGTCTAGATGCTCAGTATGATATTATTTTAATGGCAGAGACAGTTTACTCAATCTCTGCTCTCCCACATCTCTGTGAACTCATAAAGAAGGTATTTCTTATTTAGTTTGTCATTATTTATGATTCAGAACTGTGAACTTGCAGCTGCTGTAGGTATGATAATGTTTAATTTACAGTGCATAACTCCTTCTCATGGCTGCCAAGAAGCATTATTTTGGAGTCGGTGGGGGAACTCGAAGGTTCCTATCTATTGTGGAGAAATATGGTAAGCTAGTGTGAATTATCTAGAAAACTACTTAGAATCTATCTCGCCGCAGAAGTAGTCTCTTCCTTGTTTTCTACCCTATTCCTTTGGTTCATGGGATTGGGTTTAAGGGGATGGAACAAGTTACAGTATACTACATTCATGTATGAGCAGGGTTTTGTCATTGTAATTAAAATATTCATGGTTCCTTTGTTAAATATATGTTTCTTCTATGAATAGGCATTTTGGAGGTCTTAAAGATGTGACTGTTGTCAAATAATTTATATCTATACAGTTCCTATATGCAGACAAGAAGCATGTAGAGAATATTTGGTCATTAGATAATTTATCTTCTCTAAACCTCTTTTATTTTTCTTTTGATTTACTGTGTCTATATGCAGACAAGAAGGATGTAATGCAAATTCTTACTTTTTCAGACCCAAAATAGAAGTTTTTCTTTAATTATTTATATTTAGTTGATTTTTTATTTATGGGTTCGTCGTTCATGTTTCATTGAATATAGGTATTGAAAATTCTTGATATCTCTTCAGTCTCTTGAACTAAGAGCAGTGAAAAGGATCCTGTTCTTTTTTATGATCCGTCGGTGGGATTAAGAATATTGAATGTATTTTTCAGCACCAAGGATCCTATACTTGTTTGAAACCACTTCATTTCACTAATATTGCATGGTCATACAAGTTTAAAATATTTAACAGAATTGTAACTAGTTCTGGCGGTCTCATGGGGAACTATTCTCCAGATACAACATGCCTTTTAGGACGCAAACCTCTCAAAGCTTTTAGGGTTTCCAAATCAGGCATCACCCCTTGTTTGATCATTTCCTCAACGAGCCTCCAAGCTTCGCCTATCCTTTTAGCTTGCATATAGCCGTTGACCAAGGCTTTATAGCAAGAAGCAATATCAGGGACATGATCTTTTATCACCATTAAATCAATGACCTTCTTTGCCTTATCCATTTTGCCACGAAAACAATAATCATCAATTAGCATACTGCAAGTTATTTTGCTCAGCTCCATACCATATTTAACTTTGGCCACAACTACTTTATGAGCCTCTTCTGGCATCCCTCCTTGGAAGAGAGCATCCAAAAGTGTTAACAAAGTTATGATATCAGGTAAGACTGCCTGAACTATCATTTCATCAAACAACCTTGTGGCTTCAGCCCATTGATCTGTACGGCACATGCCATAAATTAGAGAATTGTAAGTGAAAATGTCAAGCCTCATACCTCTTTGGGACATTAGCTCCAACACGGAGAGCGCTTCCTTGGTCCGTCTCTCCTTGCAAAGAGCATGTATTACAGTGTTAAAGGTTACAACATCTGGTGCAATTCCTTCATCCAACATTCTATTAAACAACCTTGTGGCTTCTTTCCATTGCGCGGAATGGCAGAGGCTATTAATTAAGGAGCTGTAGGTGACGACATTAGGCTTTACACCTCTAAGGAACATTTCTTCCATAAGATTAAGTGCCTCTGCTGTCTTCCCTTCCTTGCACAAAGCATCCAACACAGAAGTGAATGTAACAATATCAGGGAAGGCTCCACAATCAATCATGTTTCTAAATAGCAGCACAGCTTCTTCCCACTTACCTGACTTGCATGCAGCACAAATTAAGGAATTGAATGTGAAAACATCAGGCCTTATGCCTTTGTTTTTCATTTTTTCAAACAGAGCAAGTGCTCGTGTCCAAAGACCCATGTTGCATAATCCATAAATTAATGAATTGTAACTGACGTTATCTGGCGCAACACTTTTGTTGATCATATCTCGAAATAGGGTCAGCGCCTCATCTATTCTTCTTTCTTTGCATAATCCATAAATTAATGAACTGTAACTGAAGTTATCTGGCGCAACACTTTTGTTGATCATATCTCGAAATAGGGTCAGCGCCTCGTCTATTCTTCTTTCTTTGCATAAGCGGCCAATGATTGGATTATAGCATTGAGGGACAGGCTTAAACCTTCCATCTTCATACATTTGCTCGAGTATCTCAAGCGCCATACATGTTTTCCCAGCTCTGCACAACCCATTAATTATAGTAGCGTAAGTGATTTCATCGCATGCTAATCCTTTCTCTTCTATTTTCTGGAACAACTCCATTGCCTCAGAGAGCGACCTGTACTTGCAAATCCCATGAAGCAAAGCATTCAAAGTATAAGCATCGGGCTGAAGACCATGTTTAAGGATAGTTGCTAAAACAGAGAAACCCAAGTCCACCCGATTCATACGGCACAAGCAATTGATAACAACATTCAGTGCACTGACTACCGGGTGTAAGCCAACACAAGCCAGCATCTGTTTATACATAGAAACTACAATGGAACACTGATTCATCTTGGATACTGCCCCAAGCAAATGATTAATAGCCCAAATCGAGGGAATGGGTTTCATTTGAATTACGGAATCGAAGTGACCCAGTGCTTCATCTAACCCAAGATTACCAGATTTACAACGCGTTTTTACCAAATCCTCCAAATCAATGGTTTCATTAACACTAACAGTATGACAACGATTGACAGCAAAAGAGCAACACTGGCTTCTGAAAAAGACGAGCCCAAACAGAGAATAGAGAGAAGAAGGATTACCCTTTTGGAGAAGCGTGAGCCCTGGAGCTCTTTTCGCCATAATTTTCATCATCATCGACCAGCTCCTAAGGCAGAGCAAGCAATTCACGAGCTGTGCTCTCTCAGAGAGTAGTATTAGTAACTGAGAGGGGTTTTTTTTTTGGGTCGAAAGGAATGAAATTTCATTGCCAAAACAAAGATACAACTTAGAGCACTTCCACCTAGGCCTGGGCATTCCGAAACCGTACCAATTTCATGTCAAACCGTACCGTTTCATACCGTTTCAGTTGGCCACGGGGCTTAATACGGTCTCATACCGTATTGTATCACCCATCTATGACACGGGAGCGGTACCATATATTACACACCGTATGCCACCGTACCGTACCGAATAGTAACAAAAACACAAACTTTTAAAATACTTTAAAAGCCTCATATTTCTCCTACAAAAAATATCCCAAGTTTTTCGACTAATATCATCAATAAAAGAAATAAAATATTTCATTTTTCCCATTAAATATTAGGTTAATGGGACCACATAAATAAGAGTGTATCAGCTTCAGCAGCTTCTGAGCTCTCCAAGCCTTGCCTTTGTGAAATTGATTATGGTGTTGTTTGCCAACAACATACTCTTCACATACTATGGAGGGAGGAGTGACCATAAGTAGACCAGTCACCAACTACTTCTGATAAAATGTCTTGAGCCCATTGAAATTTAAATTGTCATAGTGAAAGTGTCAAAGCCATGTCAGATCAGTCACCTTGGCCACCAAACCAACTTGGATATTCTTGATTTGTAACGGAAACAAACTGTTAGTTGTCATCTCAATTTGTGCAATCGCACCTCTTGCGGGATCATAAATCTGACAAACACCATCCTTGATAGTAATCACATACCCTTTCTTTTGTAATTGCCCAACACTCAACAGATTAGTTTTCAAATCAGGAACATAAAAAAAAAAGTTAGAGATAGTCTCTATGTTACCACCCTTAATGCTGATTTGAATATCACATTTTCCCATGACATTCAATGTGGAATTATCATAAAAAATTACAGTTGTACGAAATACTTCATTTACCTGGGAAAAAGATGACTGACTACCACATATGTGGTTGCTGCAGCTTATCAATTGACATAGTATCAATGTCATGTTTGATTGAGCAAACAATATAATCAAATTTTGGTGCTAGAGAACGTAGGATCTTCTCAACAATGACTACATCTTATATCGCTTCACCATGGATTCGCATCTTATTTGCAATCCCCATGGTTCTTGCAAAATAATCTATCACTAACTCTCCATTTTTTATTTGAAGGGTCTCAAAATCCCTCCTCAAAGCTTGAAGTTGTGCACACTTCAGTCTAGTTGAGCCTTGGAACTTTCTCTTCATTGAGTCCCAAATTTGCTTTGAAGTATCTTTTTGGAGAATGGTCTCCAAAATTGCTCGATCAAACAAGTAATTTTTCACCTTCAGGTTCTTTAACTTCATATCATCTATCTTCTTTTGCTATGCTTGTGTCAACTCGCCTTCTAGTTCAACAATGCATGTTTCCACAAGATCCCAATATTCCTTGGATCTTATAAAAATCTTCATAAGCATGCTCCAATGATCGTAATAACCATCGAAACAAGGGATTGTTGGCTGCACGAAATTCTCAAGTGCTCTGTCAGACATCCTTGACACTTGATGGTGCAAGAAACGCTGCTGCTACTCTTTGGAGATTTATATGTCAAGCCCAGTGGGGGCTCTGATACCAGATATTGAAAATAAGGAAGTAGGTGAAGAACCAAGAACGGATTTGTGGAATTCAAAATTCTCTTCACATTCAACTTGAATATTGAATACAACTTAAATAGCAAACTAACAAAGCAACTACGCTAAATAGTATGAACAACTACTGCACGACTAAACCATGACATTCAGCCACTAACCATGACAACTTTGACTCTCCTATTAACTAGCAACTAAACAACCAAGTCCCTAAAGAATAGGACTTCCACAACTTAACAAGATAAACATAAACATAATAAATATTCAGGTTTTAAGTTCACATATAAATTTCACAAAGGTTCAGTTTGTTTCTTGCGAAAAAGAAAAGGAAAAAAAATAGATAACAAATCAAACTTCACAAGCAAGTCGGTTTATGGGTACAAGCGTGTTGGCCACTTTAAGTCTATGTGTATCCTCACCACTTTAACTAAATGTCCACAACTATAAGTTATAAGTTATAACCATAGTTAACTTAATTCTTTGTTTTTAAATCTTTTTAAGGTATTTAAAACTAAAATATATATTTTTATTTATTTATTTAAATAAAATAAAAAACAAATAGTTAACTATGTGAGAGAGAGAGTGTGTGTGTGTGAATTCTTGTCACAAAAGAAAGAAATTGCCAGCCCACAAGTAACGGAAAGTAAACATTTTGTTTTAGCAGGCTGGGATGTGCCTACGGATTGTGGCCGACAAGTAATTTATCATGGTGTGGTATTAAAACATCTGTCATGTTGTATAAGTAATCAATTCAACTCATGTTATAATATAATTGTACCCTAAAGTAGCATACGTGTGTTAAGCTAATTTGCCACGAAAATGAATTTGCTCTCTTGGTGCTTTTGGATGAGAGAAATAAATTTGAGATTTGGACAAAATCAGAATTTCTAAATTGATATACACCAATTCTCGTATTTGGATAAACAAACTTAGAAATTTACAAATTCCACTGATAAAAAAATATAGAATTTGAAAGTCATAAATTCCAACTTTAAATTCTATCTAAATAGTTGTCATTTCTAAAATTCAAAAATTAAAAGAAATACTTAAAAATTTAAAAACTTCACGTGAAAACAAGCATAAAATTTAAAAGTCACAAATTCCAACTTTAAATTCTATCTAAATAATTATAAATTTTTCTTTATTTAGAAAAAATAAAATCAATTGGTGATGGTAGGTCCCCTTCATTAACTTTCATAGATACCCACCGAGTCAGTGACAACACCAGACCAGCCCGGTAGAGTGGGTGAGACTGTGACCCCTTGCGTTCTTTATTTGGGCATAATTTTGGCTGTGCAGTCGTGTAGTCACTTTCCCCCATAGACTTTGAGTAGCTTTTTAAGCAAAAATATGTTTGTCTTCTTCTTAAGACTCTGTATGCAAAATAATTGGAATGGGTAAAATTTAAAATTTATTCAATGGTTTCTTTGGGAAAAATATCGGATTGCCACCATTTTGTCAATTCAGTAAAATTAACAACAAAGTGAAATAACAGAAAATCAAAATCTTTATCCATCTCTTTTACACTATATACCCACTAAAACTCAACTTCATACATTGAGGTAACTGATATGATTTCTAAACAAAATATCTTTCCTATTTCTTAATACTATTTCTAGAATTATAGGACTACTATTATGGTGTTACTAAAGCATTAAGGTCATGCAAAAAATAAAAGTGCATGAAAATAAAAATAAAAATATAGTTTTAAAAATTCTAACTCAATAATTGTATATATATAATCTACGATAAGTGTCAAACGATTTACGACACATCATAAGTCATTTCTAATGTTCATATTGCTAGGGACACCAACTGATGTGGCAAGTGACACATCATCAATTAATTGCCAATATGTATTTATTATTACCAGCAATTAATTTCTTTTAAAAAAATTAAAGCATAAATGTTAACTTTAATTAACCGAATAAAATCCCAAAGCTGATCACCACCATATCCCCGCAACCATGAGATCTCCCCACCCCAACTACCTACAGCCACTGGCGGACCTAGAAATTTTTTAGTGGAGGTGCAATATTGACTAAGTATGAAAAATGGTTTTTCGGAATAATCATTTTCTCAAGATAATTTTTGGCGGCTTTTATTCCTTACATATCAACTAAGAAAACTTGATTTTATGGGATTTTAGTATGAAGTATATATTGACTTAATGAGCCATCATTTTTAGCCTAAATCGTATTTTGCACTAAAACCGATTTTTCATATTTTGATTTGGTGGGAATTTGATTTTCTAGTATTTTTATTTGAATCCAAATAGGGGGTACTTCCTTATTTACATTGTAAACTTAAGTAAATGAAGTAATATAAAAATAAATGAAAGTAAAAAGACAAAGACATTTACTTAAGTAAATGGAAATAAGGTAATCTGTACACCAGTTAAGCAAAGGGGCAATTTGAAGCACCTACAATGGTTTTTCCAGCGAGAAAATGTGCAGATGCACCTCCTTGCGCCTTAATAGGTCAGCCACTGCCTACAGCGCCCCATCATCCTAGACAATCTAAAAGGTTGAAATCCCATCATCAAAATTTTTATGTAAAGAGAAGATTTAGAAGAATTTATTGTTTATCAAAATTAAATGGGAAGCGAATGGCTGGACAAAAAATTTGTTTAACTCATTTGCTGATTAAATGAATCTAAGAAGGTTGTCTTGGGGTAGGCTGAATTGTTGGTAAAGGTGCAGCGGCCGTGAGACTGGTTGTGGTGGAATATGATGGTGATTAGGTTTGTGACATTTTTTTGGGGGGTTGAGATAGGGCTAAAAAGGCCAGAACTTTGGTTTAATTAACTTACAAGGTTTTCCTTTTAGAATAATACATGCTGGTAATTTTATTAAGTTAAAGTGATGATATGGCGTGCGCCACATCATTTGAAACTCAAATTTGGTGTTCCTAGCATTACCCATTTGATATTAACACGGTAAAAACATGACCTAGGAGCACAAATTGTCATCCCCGTATAAATTCGATATGAATATCAATGGTAAACAAACAATATTCTTTTCTTTTTTGGGTCAAGACAAATAATTAACTTGTTCTAGATCAATTTTATTCTCTTTCTTTTCCTAGTAACGTTCTTTAAATATATTGACAGGGTTCACGGGAGGGTTCCAATTTATTCCTTCATCGCACATGACATGTCTATAATCATAGCCACCTACATTTACATATATATCATTTGGAACTGTATGCTAAGTCATGATCATGTCTCATGGCCCATCCATTTATGAACCTCAACCACTAAGAATCTTACTTCTTCCACAGTCCAAAACACCACGCACAAAACAAGAAGGCACAAAAACAAAAACAAAAGCAAAAAAAATGTCCAAACCCAGGAGACCCAATCCCATGCTAATCTCCTGCCTATCCCTCCTTTTGATCCATACCCATTTCTCAATCTGCAATGGGGTTTCAGCTTTTGACCTCAATTCACTGAAAGGAAGTGGAATTGATGGTATGGTGAGAGCTGGAAGGGCCTGCAACCAGAAGATTGGGGACTGCTTGACAGAGCCAGAAATGGAGTCAGAGACCAGCAGGAGAGTTCTAGCAATGCAGAAGAAGTACATAAGCTATGAGACACTGAGGAGGGACTTGGTTCCATGTGGAAAACCAGGGGCTTCATATTACAATTGTCATGCTGTTGCGGCAAATCCTTACAATAGAGGCTGTGAGGTCATTACAGGATGTGCAAGAGGTAATGACATCAAAACTTAACTTAATTACAGTACATGGACCAAGTATGGAGAAATGGAAGCAGCAATTTCATTTTCTTTTCTATTTCTCCTTCTTATTGTAATGGTGTATTTGATGGGGGGTTTTGGTTATGACTGTATATTTGAGACCCATGTTCTGAATTGCTATACTAATGTATCACTAGCCTCAATTTTAGAGAGATCTATGGTTTCTTTTCATATGAATCTGGAATTGATGCTCATTACATAAATTCTGGGGATTTTTCCCTTCTTATTTTCTGGTAAATTTTGGGCAATTGCTTGATGATTATATGTTTCCATTTTGAAGGAGATTTTAGGGTTTGTTTAATTAAAAAAAATTCTTGATGCAATTCTACTAGGTAGCTTCTTTTGCTTCCAAAGGCAGCTGTTCTTGTCTGTAAGATAGAATTATGCCTGATTGGCCACTCATGACACTCGTGTAATCATTTTTTTTTTAATGCAATTTTGCTCATTGTTTGAAAAAGAAAAGGAAAAAAGAGAGGTTAGGTTAATTAGAGAAATGGTTCAAATGTTTACTAGTTGTTGGGTTTCTGAAAAATCCCCTTTGTGTTGATGGAATATGAGAAGATGAGAAATGGAAATATGCAACAGAGTTCTGCCAAAAGCTAGGGTGGGTGCTTAACAGTGCATAGTTTTGGATATTCTTTTGTGACTTGTGTGAGGAAGACAGTTATTCTGAGTGGATGACAGAAGGATCTCATCAGTGGACAGAAGGTTCTTGTGATATATTGGATGGATTGTCCACATTTTTGCAGGTCAAACGGGCTTCAATCCCCGTTGGTAGTGTATAGAACATGACTTATTAAACAACCATTTTGTATTGGGATTTAGTTGTAAATGCAAACTTTGAAGACTTGATTTTCTGCTGTGAAAGAAAATCCACAATGTTGCTTTGTAAACATAAAAAGAAAGAAAGAAGAACTCATGTTGCATTTTTCATTTTAAACTTGGAACTCCTATCACTCGCATCCAGCACACAAAAGCCCCTCAGCGCCCCGGGACGGGAGTGGGGGACGGACGGCCCTACACACAGGCAACAGCAGCACTGGCGCTACAAAGTCAGAATCGAAGTCTGAATGTGCAAGCTATTCTGTTGCCTCAATCTTGATAGTGTGACGAATTCATATGTTGTGGGAATACAGCAAACAAATGTCGAGCAACATTGACTTGCATAGGCCGTATGCAATCGATAGACATCTACATGGATCCAAAAAGTGAGAGCTAATGAAATAGTATAGTCCTTAAATGTCCAGTGATCGGAACGGAGCCTGATCGTTCTACGCACCCTTCAGCGCTCCACTTCAACCTTGTCAACGCCGCGTCAGTATCGACTGTAAAAATCTATGCCTGCGAAAATAGTCACTCCAAACTTCAGGGAGTCTACAAAATATCCTTGGTAGCAGATGTACTTTATAGTATCTGGAAGACGGATGATAGCTTCCGAAGTAGTAGCTTCATATCCAGGCAAAAACTAATGTCCTCACCAAATGTCTGGCCTATTGTCTCGGTGCTGTAAGAACAACAAAAGCATGAATTTGCTCCGGAAGAACGCTTGTCAACCTAGAAATCTCCTTCAATTTGATTCTTTTCTTTTCAAAAATTTGCAAAAACTTCTTACATATGTTCATCCGATTCTCTAGTGGTACATGATGATATAAAAACACCTTCCAACACTAGGGAGAACATATTAGCATTGGATGATACAACTCCTCAAATCAGAACGCACCAAATTTCTTTCGACCGAGTCACAAAGTTCCGCAAGCTGAAGCTTCGTTTCAAATATTTTAGTAGTAGAATAAGACAAAATGGTTGCCCTCCATTTTACAAAATTTACAGTGCGTTAACTTATTCAACAAGAAACAACATACAGGTAGCTGCAAAACTAACATGCAGGGCTACCTGCACAAACAGAACATGTGACCTCGGCATTCAATTAAACGATTGGAAAAATTAAGAAACAACGACATAGGAAAAGGCACATTAGATACTGCTCTTGAAGCCCCAATAAGCCAATCTTTCCTCTGCTGCAATTTACAGGGAGCTGCTCAGCCACATCAGTGTGATATGAAGAAGACACTGTCATCAGCAATTTGCATTTTACCATGAGAGAATTCAGGATCAGTTAAAATGCTTGACCTTGAACACTCTGATACATTAGTAATAGTTCCCAAAATAAAATTGAACAGCTCAATTATAAAGTTAAATATTCCCTCGAGCTATATCCATGAGAACAGGTCATTAGAACAAACAAAATCTACATTTGGTAAATAGAATTCAAAATCCAAATCAAACTGGGTAAAAATGAGCTTGCAGATCCTCATCAGATACTATTCAGTTCCAATTTACATCACAGCATGCCCATGGAAAAGCTGTCATCTATCCAATTTATAGATCCTGTACCAAGACTCTCCCGAATTGAGTTGAGTATACAGTTTTATTACAGTTTTATTGGCTAGCTTGATTGTCATTTTTTTGCTATTCTTGAATAGCATTGGTCCAGATGAGGGAAATCCCCCAACCTCCTTGTATTTAGATCTGATTAAAAGGAGCATAAAGAATATCAGAATGTGTTATCATTCCAAAGTGATTGGTGGAAGAAGAACAAGATTTACAACACACAAGAGTATAGCACATAATACCACCAATGTTTCGCTTCTCTTTCCCGATCATTTGAATAAATTCATTGCAGCTTTGCAGCTCCTTTGATGAAATAAACCAATTCGCTGATTACCGCAGGCAAAAAATTAAAAAATCTACTCTTCTCTGATGCAACCTGCAGTCAGGAGTGACAGTACAAAATTTAGGCTTCGGCTACTGCATTTAATTAATTACTGAGAGAGAGAGAGAGAGAGAGAGAGAGAGAGAGAGAGAGAGAGAGAGAGAGAGGAGGAGGAGGAGTACTGTGATGAATCATAATGAGTGTTAAAGTTTATAAGGTAAGGTGCCCCATTCAGATTTCCTAGCCAAGCAGGTGAATCGTGTACTTTGTATGGCTAGCAAAGATTGTAAAGCTAAAAGGAAAAAGGAGAGGGCAAGGGGGAAACCTAATATCATGAGAAGATCGTTATTACCCTTTCAAGTACTGTTTCGAGGAACTGGACTAGTGAAGATGCACAAGACCAACTAGTCTTCTTTCAATCTTTTGCGGAGTGATTCCTTGTCAGACTCAGAGCTACCAATTGCACTTGGTTCCGCCTCGTCAGAATGTTCGCGTGTTCGCTTAACAATGGCGCCTTCTGCATCTGATGATTTTTCAAAATAACAACAGGGGACATCCATTGCGTTGTAAAGAGAAATGCTGCTGTTAGATTGGTTCATTTTTCGGTTGAGCTCTTCCACATCTTCTCCATATACCAGATGAATACCACACTTCTTCAGCTTCAAGCACGTGTTTTTTCGCACACTACAAAAGGGTTTGAATAAAACCTCAACCTGACTGCAGTTATCCTTCAAAAAGTTCTCACAGCGATGGTGCTTACGAGAAAAATAGAGTAACCAAAGGTGATCTGATGCAACATGGCCAACACTATGATACAGCACCTCATCAGGTATAGGAAAAGAAAATTGATATGATCCAGCTACTTCCAAATAACATAAAATTCCACATGGATGGCGTCCAAAATAATCAAATTCAAGAAGGGCAGCTGGATTTTCTTGAGCTCCAAAAACAGCACATAAAACAAACCCCATCCACTTGCTATTACATAAATGCGGAGGCCGCTCCACCATTAATGAATCTCCCACACTTTGATTACTGAACCAATCAGGAATTTCACTTCCAGGAATGACAATGTTGAATTGGCAAACAGAATGACGGACTCCCTGTACCACAAACCATTATATCAATTCAAAAAACTAGATTGATTCAATGGATGAAGAGAGAGAGAGAGAGAGAGAGAGAGAGAGAGAACCTGACGGAATTTCTGTAGCATTAAAAATGCTATGTTATTGCAGCCTTCATTGTTTTCAACCAAGCTGAAGCCATTGACAGCTCTGAAAAAGTACTTATATAACCTGCTCAACATGGGTGGATCTGGCAATATTTTTAATGAAGTACAATCATCTGCTTTTACATGTAACGTCCTATTTGATGGAAGGTCTGGCAACTGCTGAAGACTTTTGCAGCTCTCCAAGTTTAACTCCCAAAGCTTAGAGAGACATCTAAGGCTTGCAGGCAAGCTAACAAAATTGTTTCCACTTAAACTTAATTCTTCTAAGGAGGACATACATTCAATATCATCAGGGATTCCTCCTTCACAAAGATTGCAGTCACTTAGATCTAATTTCTTCAAAGAGCAGAAACCTTTTAAAGAAGCCAACACCAAACCCTTAGGACCAGGACTCTTTCCTGCAAAAAATTCAAAAGGGAGGAACGAATGCCATGATTTAGGCAGTTGCCCTTTACATCCACGAAAGGATAACACTTTGAGATTTTTCATCAGAGCAAGGGAGGATGGTGGCTCTCCAATAGCAGTTCCACTCAGATCAAGTTCCTCCAAACACTCAATTTCCCCCAAGTTTTCCGGTAGGTTTCCAAGTAACGAGCATCCAGACATGTTGAGGTTTTGAAGAGACTTCAAACCACAGATGACACTGGGAAGGCATATGAGACTTTTACAATCTCTAAGATCCAGTGAAATAAGGCCAATAAGACGTTCAATTGATGAAGGTATTTTCTTAATACTAGTCCCATCTAAAGAAAGCTTTGATAATTTTTTCATCTGTCCCACAAATTCTGGAATCCTTTTTACTTTTGAGCAACCAGAAAGGATAAAAACTTCGAGAGATTCCATTTCTACCTCACTTGGAAGACTCTTAAGACTTTCACAATTTTTTAAATTCAAAATTTTAAGCCGTTTCAGAACTGAAATGGATGAATGAATCTCAACTAAACTTGTACAACCCTCAAGCACCAACCTCTCAAGATTTTGAATACCTGTGAAATCTGGGGTCTTGGTCAAGCTTTGGGAGTAACTAAGATCGATATATTTCAACTTTCCCAAGTACTGTACAAAACATAAAATTATAGAATGGTTAGCTTCCTCAAACGTTACAATTCTTTTGCAAAACAAAAAAGAAAGAAAACTGTGCAATGGCATATATTCAAGAACATTACCTTTGATCCATTCCAAAGATGATTAATTTTGCTATGACGCAAACTAAGTTCAGAAATTTCATCTGGTTGAAAAGTTGGTGGGAGAAATTTTGAAGGATACCAACTCCACTCAAGAAATTTTATGGCATTAGAAAGATATTTGGGTCCTTCAGAAAGGCTCAAATTATGAATTTGAAGCAACCTTAGCTTAGACATCTTAGAGAAGGCTTCTGGATTCCAATGTGCCTCTTCCAATTCAGGCAAGTGTAAGACTATCCCTTCAATTGCCTTTGTTCCCTAATAATTTACAACAAAGGTTAAGCTAATTCCATAATCAAGGATCGTACTATCTCAAATAAAATAAAAAATTACAGTGCTAGCCAAACCTAGCATTTCTGCATAAATCCTTACTCTATTTTTCGTAAATACATTTAGGATGTCGTCACGATGCCATAATCGACTACGTCGACCAGGTTCTTCATAAGACTCTTTTCGAACAATTTCACGTCCCATTTCCTGTATCAAATCATGCATACACACATGGTTGTCTGAAATAGTTAAAAGAGATTTCTCAACAAGAACATCTACTGTAATACGAGGGCAAAAGCCATAACTATCTAGTACTTCAATTGCTCGCTCTTTGTTATATCCCTTAAGGAAACATGCAACATCGAGAAAAATTCTTTTCTCTATCTCATCTAGTCCATCATAACTCATTTTGAGTGTTCCAAAAATTGTTCTGTTAGGAGCTTTCTTTAGTTTATCCAATGCACTAGTCCATGCATCTCGGCTTCTTTTATACAAAAAGGATCCCAAGGTTGTAAGAGCTAATGGAAGGCCTCCAGCATATTCCATGAAGCACTTGGACAGTTCCAAATAATCTTCTTCAGGATGGTCTTTTTTAAAGGCGTTCCAGCTAAAGAGCTGCAGGGCTTCAACTTCATTTAATCCCTCAAGCTCATATGATTTTTCTACACCATGTGTGACCAGCAAATGTTGATCTCTAGTTGTAATGATGATTCTGCTCCCCAAACCAAACCAGTGTTTCTCCCCAACTAATATTTGCAGTTGGTTTAATTCGTCGACATCATCAAGAATGAGAAGAACCTTTTTATTGCATAAATAGTTCTTGATCATACTGGTTCCACTATAAACATCCCAAACATTTGTACTTTCTTTCTTCAAGATCTGGGAAAGAAGTTCTTTTTGTAGATGAACTAGACCATGTTTTGCAGAAACCTCTCTTACATTTGCAAGAAAGCTGCTAACTTCAAAATTATGGAAAACTCTCTCGTATACCAATCTAGCAATGGTTGTCTTACCCACCCCACCCATCCCCCATATCCCTATAAAGCGAACATCATTTGCCTCAGCATCTAAAAGCAAATTTATTTCCTTTACTCTAAAATCAACTCCAACCATGTTCTTGGCGGAACCTAACAATGTGGGATGGGATGCACTTTATTCCATAGTACTTCCACAATTTCTTTGATAAGCTCTGTTTCATACCTATCCTTAGAAGTCCACCCACTGAAATTAGCCACTTTGAATAAAGCTTCTCTCCATTGCCTCACCTTTGCCATGTCTTTCCTAAAATTTTCTTCATGTTTAGTGAAGGCTTCTGCAAAGCTACCCATTTGTTTGCGTACATCGGACGGATCCACGTGATAAAAAATTGGCAAAATTGTACCCCTCGTTTCCATGCATTCAACAATCTTTGTAATTTCATCCAAGCACCAAGAGGAAGAAGCATAATTCGGCGAGAGAACAACAATGGCAAACCTTGATTGTTCAATTGCGGTCAAAAGCTCTGGAGCAAAAGTTTTACCTCTCTGAAGTTCTTCATTGTCCCTGAAGGTTTTGATTGTTTGCCACCGCAGTTTGTCATATAAATGGTCTGTGAAACCTATGCGGGTGTCTTCACCTCTAAAACTTAAAAACACATCATATTTCCACTGAGAAGGTGAAGGAAGAGACATGCCGGCTCTTGGGCTCCTCAACACCATTGGAAACTACACCAAACACTGGATACAAGCAAACTTTCTAATCTTTAAAGCTCCAAACTTCAAATCTAGGCACATACAAAGAAACTAAGAAATGCATAGCTACGAAAGAAAGCATTAGTCAGGCTAATAACGTGAGTCTTGAGCTTGTTGGCAGGCAATGTTGTTGTTACATACGACAAACTAGAAATACCAATAAATAATAATAATTATGAGAAAAAACGTTTTACATAACTAAAACCTTCTACATGATATTCGAAATTTCCAAGTGCAGATACACAAAATATGCACTAAGCGTTCAAATGCCTGAAGTACTGGCATATATTTGGGAAAACTTAAACTGCGTGTCCACAATGCAGTTAAAGCCCCACACATATATATGAGAAAACTTACAAGCTAATGTGATTAATGACCAATTACAAGAGTTTGAGTATTCTTTCTTAGAGGCTTAGTCAAGGTTGTGGCTCTCCCCAAGTATCCTTCAGCAAAACACTCTACTAAAGAAACAAACATTTTACAGTTCCATAAATGAAATAGAAACCTCATAATTCCCTAATTCCTTCTATTGTAGTTTTTTTGGGGATAAAATCCAAATTTAAAGATAACTATCGTGTGATAAACTGAAACATTATAATATCTAGAATTGATAAATGTGATTAGTGTAATGCATTGAGAATCAAAATCTGATCATCTGCACGAAGCTTGTGGCTTTTAAACGTTTACCTCAATAAAAACAAGCATCAGTGTAGAAATAAAACCATGACGAGAATGTAACTAATATCATATCAGATATTTTTATACAACAGGAAAAAGAAATAGAGCATATTGCCAGTATATCAAATGGAGAAAACAAACCCTAAGTAAAAATTATATATATACAAAAAAATTTAAAAAAAGGCCAGAACTTTGAAAAGAAAAATGCAAAACCAGAAAACACACTGAACATTTGGTTTGGTTTAACCAAATCAGGATAAAGAATATAAATAAATAAAAATTGAAAGCCCATGTAATCTTCAAAGAAATAAAATCCAGAAATAGAAAGATCTCTGGGTTAGTTTTATACCAAGAAAAAAAGCCTTGACTTCCCACTTTAACACAGACTGCCTGTCAATAGCATGCCATCAACAAAGCAGAGAGCTCAATGTTCAACAAAAAACTAATGATGGAAGAAGACGAGATAAAGAAAATCAGAGAAATACCTGAGTGCAAGAGAAGAGAAGCTGCGGCCTCTTACTCTTAGGAAATGAGGAGGGAGAAGCTGCTGTTCTGTTTCTTGTGCAACTTACTTGGTTGGGCGGGTAATCCCAAGGCGGCAGCGCGAGACACAATTGAAGAAAGAGAGAGCATGTCATTAACATTATATTTGTCGTGACCTTACTTACCTTACTAAACAAAAAGCCAGTTAGTGTTATTTTCTACATTTCGTTAGAAAATGTCTCAAATTTGATTTTCATTACAACAAAATAAAACATCATAGCTTGTTTTGCTACATTTATATGTGGGATCATGCTCGTGTTTTATAATAAGGTAGTTTGTTAACTACGTCTTATTGTTGTGATATTTGTCTTATTGTTGTGATATTTTTCTTCTCAACCTTAGAAAAAGGCATTGATATCACAAATTCAAATCCTCCCTCGCCAACGCCATGAGGTGAAAATCACTTGAATTGAGGCTCCTACTAGTGCTATTTGCAAGTTGCAACCTTGTTTTCATAATAGTTGTGTCGACATATTCATCTTTTCATGTTCAGCTTAGTTTTATCAGGCCCCTACGCGTCCAATTTACAGCATCTGAAGTAGACAGAATGACATGGATGTAGGTAAAGGTCACTTTGATTGAGGGGCCGACCACATTCTCATGATCTCGAAGGCAGAGAAAAATGTCGTGTAGCCACACTGGGACCCACTGGAAAACTAAATAATAGTCGTTGCCTTTTTATCAATCAATCAACCACACCCCACCCACACTCACCCACCCAGCCCACCAACCCTTATGTCACAAATGTGTGCATGTGTATGTAATGAACGCCGTCCAAGAAACGAAATCCCACTAACATTCATTCACATCTACAGCAAAAGACCAAAAAAATAAAAAGCAAATCAACACTTGACATGATTGATCTCATTTGAACTTCTAAAATTTAACCATTGTTATGAACTTCCATTTGGACTCGAATATGATAGCTGAAGACAAATTTAACCAAAAATCAAATGGAAGGTAAATTGTTCATTTTTTGGATCTCTTTTTTGGTAGTAAAATGATAATCAGATGCAGCACAACGGATGCGGCAAAAGACGTTATCCAAACACAGCCCCATTCCATCCTTATTCAAACCCCAGGTCTTCAACTGAGACCTAATCATCCATTTCCTTCCTCCCACCCTTTTCCCCATCACACCACAAACTCCTACAAAATTTAACCTACGATTCTAACACATTTCATCAAAATGTAAAATAAACAAATTAAAAACAACCCGTCCAAATATAATTTTTTTTTCTCATGTCACTTGTCCTTGACAATCTTCTCGTCCTCTCAGTACCTGTAGTGAGCTGGCTTGTATGGTCCCTCAACTGGCACGCTGATGTAGTCGGCCTGTTCCTTGCTGAGCTTGGTGAGCTTAGCTCCAAGCTTGCCAAGATGAAGAGCAGCGACCTTCTCATCAAGGTGCTTTGGCAAGACATACACCTTCTTCTCATATTTGCCGGACTTCCTCTCATTCCACAACTCGAGCTGGGCAATCACTTGGTTGGTGAAAGAACAGGACATCACAAAGCTGGGGTGTCCAGTGGCACAACCCAAGTTCATGAGACGGCCCTCAGCCAAAATGATGATGCCGGTGTTGGTCTCTGGGAAGACCCACCTGTCGGTTTGAGGCTTGATGGTGATGCGCTTCACTCCTGGGTATGTCTCAAGACCATGCATGTCAATCTCATTGTCAAAGTGACCAATGTTGCAAACAATGGCATTGTTCTTCATCTTCCTCATGTGGTCAACCATGATGATGTCCTTGTTACCGGTGGTGGTAACGAAGATATCAGCCTCAGAGACAGCATCTTCCAGAGGAAGAACCTGAAGGCCTTCCATAAGAGCCTGGAGGGCACAGATTGGGTCAATTTCAGTCACAATCACTCGTGATCCAGCTTGCTTGAGGGCAGCAGCACAGCCCTTTCCAACATCTCCGTATCCACAGACAACGGAAACCTTTCCGGCAATCATGACATCAGTGGCTCTCATCAAACCATCAGGGAGAGAGTGACGGCACCCGTACAAGTTGTCGAACTGTCATGCACAAAACAAAAACCAGAAGATCCAATCAATCAGGCATTCATAAGAATCTGGGTCAACAAAACCACCATTATTATATGACAAAGCCAACTAATCTGGAAAATAAGCTTCCTATTTCTTACTTTCTAGTTAATTGTAATAAAATCAAGCTAATCCAAGCAGCATTTCTATTTCCCACTTCAGTGAAGACATTTAAAATAAGCATGAAACTATGGATCTAATGGTCATTTTTAACTCTAAATTCCAGCATGAAATGAGATCTGAAGCAAAACCCAGATAAGATTTAGAATGAAATGAGATGAAACCAATCATACCAAAGTCAGCAAAACACGAATCAAAACAACACAGATCTATAAAATAGAAATGAAATGAGAACAAAAACACAGATCTGAGCGCATACCTTGCTTTTGGTAACAGAGTCATTGACATTGATAGCAGGGAACAAAAGCGCCCCACTAGCCTGCATCTGATACAACCTCTTAACTCCGGTGGTGGTCTCCTCAGAAACACCGACCAACCTGTCCTTCATTTTGTGGTACCTCTTGGGGTCGGTCTTCAACCCATCTCTGATAATGGTAAGAACGAGCTGGAACTCCTGGTTATCGGTGGAGGCGGGGTCGGGAAGCTTCCCGGACTTCTCAAACTCCTCCTCGGCCTTGACACCCTCGTGGATCAGCAACGTGGCGTCACCACCGTCGTCGACAATCAGATCGGGTCCGCCGCCGGGGCCCCAGTCGAGGGCGCGCTCGGTGCACCACCAGTATTCTTGGAGGGTCTCGCCCTTCCAGGCGAAGACGGCGGCGCTGTCGCGGGCGATGGCAGCGGCAGCGTGGTCCTGGGTGGAGAAAATGTTACAGGAGCACCAGCGGACCTCGGCGCCGAGGGCGGTTAGGGTTTCGATGAGGACGGCGGTCTGGATGGTCATGTGGAGGGAGCCGGTGATGCGGGCGCCCTTGAAGGGCTGGGAGGGCCCGAATTCAGTGCGGCAGGAGATGAGGCCGGGCATTTCTACCTCGGCGAGCTCGATCTCGAGGCGACCGAAGTCGGCCTGGGACATGTCCTTGACCTTGTACTCGCGGCCACTGCTGCTTTTCTCGACGGAAAGAGCCATTGGAGAAGAAGGTAAAGGTTGGGAGATAATCTCTCACTCTGTTTTGCTTTCTCTGCAAAATAGGGTTTGTGGCGAGTGAGGGATTAGAGCGAGGGTAGAGTGAGAGAGTAAGGGGGTATAAATAGGAAGGGAGGGTGAGATGGACGGTGGGGATTGGGCTTGGAGGAGTTGGTGGATCTGGTTTTGGTAAATGAGAGTGAAACGTCTGGCGTAGTAAACGGAAGATGATGCGGGACCCATTTGTTGTGGGTCGTGGTTTTCTTGTGTGATTTGATTCATCAATAGCGGATAAGGGTTGGAGATATTTGAAACGTGGCGGGTTGTGGTTTGGTGGGGGATTAAGTTGGTTGTGTATAGTGTGGTCTTGCTTGCACTGTAGTATTGTCAAATGTGAATCTCAATTTACATGAAGATGAAGAAGACAATGATAGTAATACTTTTTTTAGATTAATCATTTTATTAGTTCCTGAATTTAGACCCGATTTGCATTTGAGTCTCTCAATTTCCAAAATCGTTCACGTGGTCCTTTAATTTCACTTTCATTAGAACAAATGGTCATCTCATCAATTTTGTTAACTTTTTCTGCTAAATGCAAGGGCAAAATGGTATTTTTATATTAAAACAAAAAAAAATAAATAAATAATCATATCTTTAAAACAACAATAAAATCAAATCAAATAAAAAACAAACACACACAAAAAAAAATTGGGGGGAGTAGAAATCGAGTTAGAGTGGGAGAGAGAGAGAGTTTAATTTTAATTTTTTATTCATATTTTAATCAATTTAATACAAAAATACCATTTTGCCCGCATTTAACAGAAAAGTTAACAAAATTGACGGCATGACCATTTGTCCTATTAAAACCGAAGTTGAAGGACCATGAGAACGATTTTGAAAATTAAGAGACTCAAATGCAAAAATTAAAATTAAAAAAAAGGCACCAAAAAGCATAGCATCAGGGCACAAGTCGAAAAAACCAACTCCTGGATTTACCTTATTGTTTAATTAATTTGTTTGTATAGTTTGAAGCTCCAAGATTTTTATTCTTAAGAGTATCTCTAAGGGAAGAGGCAAAAGATTTTGTATTGTTTAACCTTCAATTTTTGTCATTTCATATCGATTGAAGATGCTCTTATATGATAAAACAAAAACAGTTTAAATTTAAATAATTTTCGCCAGGGGTTTGTAGCTCAAGTGATTAGAAGTATTTACTCTTGCACCAGAGGTCCTAGTTTCGATTCCTCCTCCCCAGGGCCGGAGCCACACTGGGACTAGTGTGGTCTCGGGCCCCCACTCAAGTGTTTTTATATTTTAAAAGTAATATACTGTTATGTATTTCTATATGTATATTATTTCAAATACTTTACGTTTTGATATGTATTCACATGTGTTGTGGCGTACCTATTAAGGTACAAGGAGTGCTTCCAATTGCCCCTTTGCTCAGTTGGTAGTAGTGCACTCCAGGTGTACAAATTACCTTATTTCCATTTTCAACATTTAAGTAAATGTCTTTGTCCTTTTACTTTCATTTGTTTTTATATTGCTCCATTTACTTAAGTTTACAATGTAAATAAGGAAGTACCCCCTATTTGGATTCAAATAAAAATACTAGAAAATCAAATTCCCACCCAATCAAAATATGAAAAATCAGTTTTAGTGCTATTTATACGATATCTAACCCACCACTTACGCCATGACACGTGGAAAGAGCACAACACTAAGGAAGACCCCATGACCCACACTGGCAAACAAAGTGGTATGGATCAGTAGGTACCTTCGGTGCCTACGACCTATTCAGCGCCCAACATAGCCTTACGACCCAGGTTGGCGAGTTCAATCCTGCAAACAGCAGGCGCTTCCGACTCTATCCCCCGATTGTTCGTCAAACATACGTCCGGCACGCCTTACCGATCTTGTGCCTAAAAAGGGCATCTTGCGGAACGACCTCGAACTCCCCACTGGGATATTTGCTGGGACCCGTGTCGACCTCGGAAGACACTCTTACAAATCCCACATCGAAACTAAGTACCAAGAGAATACCCAGCGCTCTCTATAAATAGGGCCCCTTGCCTTAGACACATGGTAAGATTTCGACTTGACTTCTATGCTCCTACATTGTCAATAGCTTGCTCTTAAAAACCAACTTTAGCGTCGGAGGGTCTTCGACTGGTACCCCACCGGTGCCTTAGACCTCATCCACTGTTTCTCTCATTGCCCTAGGATTCCAAGGAAGAACGTGCTCACCGAAGGCACATCCGGTCCCTGAACCATCCATGTCACCTGTAAGTTGCTCCTATCTCTATCCATTTTAGTGCAAACAAGTGCAAAATACAATTTAGGCTAAAAATGATGGCTCATTAAGTTAATATATATGTAACATCCCACATCGACCAACGGAGAGGGGTTGATGTGCTTTATATGTACATGCCGGCCTCCATCTAGCATGAGGCCTTTTGGGAGCTCATTGGCTTCAGATTCATGGGAACTCCGAAGTTAAGCAAGTTGGGGCTAGAGCAATCCTAGGATGGGTGACCCACTGGGAAGTTGCTCGTGAGTTCCCATAAATAAAACCGTGAAGGCACAGATGGGGGCTCAAAGCGGACAATATCGTGCTATGGCAGAGCCAATCCTAGGATGTGACAATTTGGTATCAAAGCCACTCTACCATGTAGTGCGAGTGTGCCGACAAGGACGTTGGGCCCCTAAGGGGGGTGGATTGTAACATTCCACATCGACCAACGGAGAAGGGTTGATGTGCCTTATATGTACATGACTGCCTCCATCTATCACAAGGCCTTTTGGGACCTCACTGGCTTCAGATTCATGGGAACTCCGAAGTTAAGCGAGTTGGGGCTAGAGCAATCCTAGGATGAGTGACCCATTGAGAAGTTGCTCGTGAGTTCCCAGAAACAAAACCGTGAGAGCATAGATGGGGGCCCAAAGCAGACAATATTGTGCTATAGCAGAGCCGATCCCATGATGTGACAATATATTTCATACTAAAATCGCATAAAATCACGTTTTCTTATTTGATGTGTAAGGAATAAAAACTGCCAAAAATTATCTTGAGAAAATGATTATTTCGAAAAACCATTTTTCATACTTAGTCAATATTTTTACATAAAACATTTTTTCATGTATGATATGAATGCATGAAAGGACTTAAGGTTTCTTTTAGTTTGTGAAAATTTGATTTTTTACTTTTTATTGGGTTTAATGGGGGAAAAAGCTTGAAATATATTTGCTAAATGGCTACTCTTTGTCTATCTCTTGCAATTTTTCTTGCTTAGAATGTATTTGTCTATCTCTTTGTCGAGGACAATTATGATTGCAACTAATAAGCAATATAATTCTTGACACATGTGATATATATATAAATTTTTTTGTATGTATTGTGAGTTCGAATTTTTGATTCTTTATAATTTGTAAGAGGCCCCCACACATATGAAATCCTAGCTTCGCCACTGCTCCTCCCCGAATATCACTTGTATCAAAAATCTGAATAACTATCACCTCTTATTAATAGTTGTTAAGCTATATCAAAACATAATTATGTTTAAAATATAAAATAAAATGTATTTTACAGCATAATTTTATTATTTTTACATTATAGAAAGGGTTAATGACCTAAATGGTCCCCAAACTATTACCCCATTATCATTTTGGTCCATCAATTAAAATTTTCAATTCAAACGTCCTTAAACTTTTTATTTTGTACCAAGATGGTTCATCCGTTACAGATTTCGTTACTTCTGATCACGCGATGGCCACGTGACTGAGTTTTGAAGGGTATATGCGACTTTTTGAGAAGCTCTATCGTTTAAAACCAAAATACCTATGGTCCCTTAACTATTGCTCTAGTATCATTTTGGTCCATCAACTAAAATTTTCATTTGAACCGTTCTTCAACTCTTTTTTTTTTTTATCAAGATGGTCCTACTGTCAAAATCCTTCAATTTTATTGTTATTTATTTTTGTATTTATCTGATTTTAAATTTTTTAATTAATTTAAACAATAGAGAAAAAAATTATTACTTTTTAAGTCCATGTCAGCAAAAAAAAGCCATGTTGGTGGTGAGATTCAATTTTTTCAATTTTAAAATTAGGTACAAGTTCCTATAATAGTTTCCTTTAATTTTTAATTATTGTTTACTCTTTTAAAAAAATTGTTATTTTATTTTTATATTTATGTGATTTTAATTAATTTATACAATAGAGAATGTTTTATTATTAATTGTTGGGTTAGTCTCACGATAAAAAAGCCATGTGGCTGGTGAGATTCAATTTTTTTTTTTTTTAAGTTTTATAATAATTTCCTTTAATTTTTAATTATATATTACTATTTTAATTCATAGAGACATTTTTACCCCTCAATTTAACAATAAAATTGACAGACTTTAACAATAGGACCATCTTGATACAAAAAAAGAGAGTTGAAGGACGGTTCAAATGAAAATTTTAGTTGGTTGACCAAAATGATACTAGAGCAATAGTTGGGGGACCATTGGGATCAATAACCCTTAGTCAACTACACTAATTAGAAAGTAAATCTCCTAATTGCAGCTCATGTCCTCTACTTATTTATTGGGGATCATTAGGATCAATAACCCTTTTAGAGGAGGATACTCACCTAAAAATACAGTTTTATCCCTCGATTTCACGGAATAATACACAGACTTTGACGGATGGACCATCTTAGTACAAAATGAAAAGTTTAAGGACGTTTGAATTGAAAATTTTAGTTGATGGACCAAAATGATAATAAGGCAATAGTTGGGGGACCATTTAGGTCATTAACCCTTATAGAAATGTGCAATCACATAATTGAGAATGTAAGAAAAAAAAATCAAATTATATAGTAACGTATCATTAACAGGTGTGATTGAGAACGTAAGAAAAAAAACAAATCAAATTATATAGTAACGTATCATTAACGGGTTTCATGAGTTAACTCAAAAAGGATTAATTTTTTAACTCGTATAACGGTTTCACGAGTTAACCCAATTTCGCATGTAATTTGGGCCGGAGAGATCGGTTCTGAGATGGGTCGAGTAGATGTGAAATACAAATCCCAAAAATATTTGAAGTGTGACCCAACAAATCTTGGCCCAAAGCCAATAATTTAATTGGCACAGTCATCACTCTAAATTTCTAAAACAATATTAAACAAGCTGTAATTATATTTGTGTCGGTTTGGAACTTTATTGCCTGGCAGTGGCGTCATTG